CAGAAGGGACCATTTCAAAGGCTTTGCCCAACATCCATGGAGATATACTTTTATTCTACCAAACATATCTCTTTAAAACTCTAATGATACAAATTCTTGTCCTTCATTCACAGATGTACCAGACAGAAATGAAGGAGAAAGCCATTATTTGTGATTGTGTGCACATCTGTGTAAGAAAAAACACAGATTTATTATATGTGCAACACCTATAATATATATGCATGTATGAATCTATAACAAGTGATTAAAATATTGTTCCAAAATAAGCATAGTATTAAAATAGGCTTTAAAGCTTTGGCTATTTGTAAGATGTGGAAAGATTATTTCAGCAATGTGGCTGAGACCTGTCACAAGGAAGGGGTATGTCCAATTTCATATTGCCAGGTAATATTCGACTCAAGACTAGAAATCAGGTCTATCAAGTCTTTAATGGTTAATAATTAGTAGACTAGTTGATTATTCACATTCAGCAACAAGAGCTCTTCAATGGTATTTGATGCCAGCAAGTGAATCTCTTGCATTTGGATAAGCCTTGAGTGCTCTAAGCCACCATTTCTTCTCTGCCATAGTTCCAACATGGCATTTTACATCTTGCATAACTTTGGGCAGCCTGGGTTCCTCACATTCCCCTACTATCCCTCAGCATCAGTATCTCAAACCAAAGGTCCAAAAGTGCTGATGCAAAGTCTCTTCTTATTGTCGCTCTTGACCTCTGAATCTCTGATAGTGTTAACTAGAAGCACTTTTTCTCCACTGAGCTTCCTAGTAACCTATCTGTTACCTACTTAACAAATAGCTTTCTATCTTGTATTTAGTTTTTATAAATCAGTTTTTTTTTCTCCTACTGGACTCTGAGCTCCTTGAGTTTAAGGCCTACGTCAAATTTGTTTTTAATTACCTCAGCATCTATCACAGTTCCCTGAATGTTGTATATCCTAAACAAATATCCATTGGAGGAATAAATGACTAATGTCCAAACATCAGGGTTAGGAAAATCTTCATGGCTATTTTTCATTTTAAGTAATGAAACCATCATAGCTGTAAGATAGATCAGTTCCTAAATAAACCTGTAATTTCCTAAGCAGAGTGGATTCTGGTCTTGATTTGTGAAAGACAACCTCCATGTTGTTTAATGTTAAATGGCATAAACAGGGAAGAATTTTATACTTAAATTTTTTTTTCTTTCTCTCTCTCTCTCTCTCTCTCTCTCTCTCTCTCTCTCTCTCCCCCTGTGTTCACTCTCCCCGCTGCTGTTTCTTGTTTCTTTCATTCCCTCTCTTTGCTAACAGACTTCAACCTTGGTTAGATTCAACTCAACTTATTAGTGCATGGCTTTTAGCCAAAAGCAATTCATATTTTCAGAAGTGTACTATCACATATGTCTTAATAACAGAAATGTGTTTTAAAAAATGTATGTGATAAATCACATATGGTAAAAGAAATCTGTACATATCTCAGGCCTCGCTGTCACAATGAAATCTTGGAGATGACTTCTGTGGAGTATTTAACACATGAGTTGAATGTCTCTGACACATTAAAGAGCCATAGTTTTAACATACTTATACGGCTTTGATACTGAAAGGCTTACAACATATTGAGAAATATACCAGACATCTCTTGTCCTGATAACAGACCATAAGAAAATTCAGTTTGGAGTCTTATCTTCAGAAGTAATACTTAATGTTTCAAGGTAAATTCATTAGTGTATTGAGGAGAATTATGTGTTAAATTCATGAGGCAAATATTTGGTATCTCCTTTATATATAGTGTAATTAATGTGTACCACAGTTTTCCTATGATGATGAATGAAGCTTACAACCATGAATGTATTAAAAATAAACTGAAAAAGTAGTTGAGAAATGAGGGCTAGAAGTGAACTTTTTAAAATGGAAAATATTCAAATTAAATGAATATCATAAATTGTTTATCATCACCCTAACTGAAAGCACAGATAGCCTTAGTTAGATGTGTAAATAACAGAGCTTTAAGAAATGCAAATGTTCTTTGCAACATGCTAATCTATACACAACCTGGCAAGTTCATAATGTGCTCTAGATATGAGTGCACTGAGTTCTGTGGCATCACTGCCCTGTTCATGGATCTGATAGCCATATACTTTTCAAATGTAATGAGTGAAGAATGAATCTATTTGCTATGAATTTAATTAGGTGATACCACAGCTCCAGAAGGTCCTGAACATGTGTTAAAGGCTCAGTAATTATCTACTTATTGTATCTAAGACCAAAAGAAAAAGTGTTAATAGTTTAATCTTCAGTTTCATGAAAAAGCTTAGTACCTTTTTCTACTTGACCAATAAGTGCAAGAGTTAACAAGCTTGTTCCATGAAGAGTCAGATGGTAAATGTGCATGTTTGGCTTTGTGTGTTATACCCAGTCTCTGTTGCAACTATTCTACTCTGCCACTGAATGGAAAAAAGCAGCTACTGGCAATATGGAAATGAATGAGAGTGGCTATATTCCAATGCACTTTAGTACAGGTACTGAAATGTAAATTTCATATAGTTTCCATATGTCATTAAATCATCTTCTTTTGACTTTTTTCCAATATTTGTCAAACTCTACACCAAAGTACTATATAAAAGTGCTATGGATGATCTTCACCAATCTGTATTCATTCTTCAGTTGCCACAAGACCTTGATTTTCCAAAAAACTGTACACACTCCCATTTTTATTTGCTCAAAAACAATCAAATGTTAATTATAACATACAAGATCAAACAAAGAACTAGTCAGAGGTAAAGAAGCTGAAATAAATGAGAGCAATGTCAGGATATTTTTACATATGGTATGAGTGCAGAACAATAGGACTGGATGAGCTGGGCAGTTACAATAACAGGGGTCCTCCTAACCAAACAGTGGATCCAAATTGAGTTTTTAGGCCAAGTTATTGAAAGGGGTGTTTTTTTTAGATTCGTCCAATTTGTTTATCTGTTCATTCACTAAGAAAACATGGATTAAACATTTAATATGTTTGGGGTCTCAGTAAACTGTGTGTAATTGAAATTTTCTAGCAGACACCAGAAATAGCCATTATTAATCATTTTAAGAAATAAACAAACACAAAACCCCCAACTCTGTTCTTCTGTCAAAAATGTGCTCTGGAGTTACCATCTCTAAGCTGAGGTCTTGGAGAAGAGCTCATCTTAAAGTGTCTACATAGCTGTGGCTGGCCAAGTGAGTTTGGTATCATAAGCCCCAATGCAACAAGATACCCAAACTCATACTGAGAAACCATCTTATTTTAATTAGTAGACAACTGTAAACATGTTCCAGTCATCATGACATAGGTTTATTACTAGATAAATTTTCTAATATATTTAAAAGTAAAAAACTCCATAATCTTTTAACTCCTTCAGTTTTCCTTTGTAACACTCTATAAAGTTCTAGAGGCTAGAGTCTGCACTGTGAATTAACAAGAACTCATAAAAATGTCTGTAGGGGCAAATTCTCAGAGCAAAGAAAAAACTGGCCCCACTTCCAGACCATTTGAATACCATTTAACACAGCCCCACACACTGCCAACTGGTTGTCCTTTGCACATAAAGATGGAGCTCTGGACTCCTGATGATGGGCTTGGAGATGTTTGCTCCACCAAAATCCTGGATTTACACTTCTCCAGCCCTTGCCCCATCCCCTGTGACCTAGGACACACATCTATACACAGGCAGACTAGAGGGAGAAATGCAGGAAAACTGTAGGAAAATCACTAATGGTCCACCCAGGGACTAAAGTTCTGGCCCTGGCCTCATTAGCAGTATTCTCTAATTTGTGAGCCTTGTCAGCCACAGGCTTGCAGTAGAGGAGCCTTTAGGGCATTCAGACAGAAAAGAAATCAGGCTGCAGAAAAGATTTCAATCCTAAATGAACAACGACAGGACAGCTACAACAAAATACATCTCCAGATTAGAGACGCCCCTCTAGAGGCTACCAGAGCCTGATAAGGAATATGCTGTGGCCTAAGAAAAACAAAATTTAAAAACAATGTGTACAGCACATTTTAGAAAAAATGTATGAAAACTTGGATTTAATGGTATGCTAACACTACCCAGGTGCCCTGGAAAAGTTAATTCTTTTACAAAACCTAAGTGGCCTTCTTATCATTGGCATTAGGTGATCTGTTATCTCAAAAACTATTAAAAGTCAATGCACTCCTCATTTCTGTATCTGATATGAACTATAATGGAAGTTGGTGGACATAAGTCAACAGGTAATTTCAAAAGATGTGTTATTTCGAGAACTATAGTAACTCAGAAAATAGAGCAAGTCCTCCCTTGGCCACGTGGCTCACAGGACCAGTATGTATCATAACACTACAAAAAAAGTCACAACCCAAATGACAAGACAACTATCCTTCTTAATTTGAAACTCTCTCTTCTGGAAGAGGCAGGATGTCTAAGAACTACTATATTTAAAAGAATGCTGTGTAGGTTGTTTATAATTTGAGTGTCTTGTAAAATGCCTTGGAAATAGCTCTCTGTTAGCTAGGAAACTTTTAGTTAAATATATTTTTACGAGCTTTTCATTAACAGAGCAATGAGGCCTTGATGCCAAGGTGCCAAACCTTCCCACGTGGCTAAAAATTACTTGGCACACTTTCAGCCATTTACATCTCTGTCATAGGTCCAAGGTTTGCAATTAAAAATGTAATCTTTTTAGCATGTGCAAAACCCAAAGGTTTGAAATACTATTCACTAAATACAGCTATAATAGTACTTGGCAGCTATTCATAGAAAGCAGATATTAATTTATGTAAACTGGGTACAACCTGGGGCATTTCCTCACTAGGGACATGGAAAAATATAACCTGGTCCCTGCTCATTGGACGGTTTTGTTATTGTTGTTGCTTGTTTTGTTTTTGTCTATAAATTATCATAAACACAGATTAACTCAAAATCCAAGTTCTCTTTTATGACCTTATTTTTTCACATGCATAGAGTCCATTAAAATTAACATTTCCTACTAATAAAAATAATAACTTACTTCACAGGATTATTCTTAGGTTTTGCCTTTTCAACAGCCTGTAAACACAAGGAGAAAATGCAATTAGACAACATTAGAAAGCATAATCTTTCAACTAGTTACCAAAACAGTAAGTAATATAAAATGCTCTTCAGAGACATAAGGAGCTAACTGAAGCAGGCTGCAGCAGATAAGCAGACTGGAGACTCAGAAAGCAATTTTCCTCTCCTTGGGATTGTGTTTACCTGTCTAAATGCAGCCTTCAAATACAGGTGGATATTATCTAAGATGCTTGGAAAGTTCATCAGAGGCCATGGAAGTGGCTTTTAAGAGCAGAACTAGGTCCTCTTCCCCAACTTTGATGTAATTTTACCCCATGTGGACCCGATAAGGTTATAGCGAGAAAGTAGAGAGGTAGGTCTGGGGGGAATGCTTGCAGTAACATCCTGGATTTTGAGGTCTGTAATAAGGAACTGTCCATACTGGCATTACTAGTGACACCTGGTTATGCTTGCGCTGTGAAAGAAAAGCTGAAGTGTCCATTTCCAAAATCATTTTTATTAGCAGAAACCACGAAGGTGCAAGAAACGACCCAATGCTGAGACCAATTTCCTCCCACGGAACCTTTAAGAAAATACCCACCAAATCATCAAAATGAGGAAATCTCTGGGTCTCTCGGCCTGTATCACCTTAGACATGGAGCCTGGTTCCAGTTTATTGCTGAACCCATTGATCTGTGTACAGTCCATTTATCATTCATGAAAAGAGCTAGTGATCTTCACAGTATATTAGAAGAAACAACACAGATCATCTGTCAACAGCCCTCTTATTTCTGTTTCCCTCTCCACAGGGATTTCATCTCCTTCGATTCTTCTGGAATTAAAATGTTGCTAAGCAACACAGCTGGGGGTGCTGATGGCAGAATGGCTATAGTCTATCAAACTGTTTAAGCACCTGGAGGGTTTTAGCGATGATTTTTTTTCAAATTTCTGTAGCATAATTATGTAATCAGAACCAAACTTGTACTCTCCTAGACTGTTTGAGTCTATAGGAATAACATTTATTGTGAATAAAATTGAAACAGCCCTTTGACAACTTTGGGGTTGATCAGACCCTTTTGAAAAGCATCCGTTAGGGGCTCTTTATATTTGTGAATTCTGGAGGTGGGTAATGGCTAAAGAGAAGAAAACATTGTCATAAATTGCAATGTCCTTCTAACAGAGAGAATATACTGTCAAGCACTGAACTTTATATTCTGGGTGACAAGCAGTATTCAGAATACTGAACCTTTCTGTGCATATCAATTAAATTGACTAAAAGCAATAAAATAAACAAAACTCTTCCCAAGTTTAGATGTTAGTGCTGGAAACTCAAGTCTTCCTCATTTATTAACTCTTAGGTTCTGCTGCAAGATATACCCATAATAGTTAGGCACTTTCTTTGGCTTGATAGGCAAAAATCATTTTCTCACCATCTGTGCCTGAGGTTGAATTTTGGCAAGTACTAGGATAGGAAGAAAGCTAGGAAATGAGGCAATGGGTGAAAATTAGAAAACAAATGTGTGGCTGGCTCAATTCACTTCTCACAGATATCTAGGATATGAAATCCTGTCCGTGGGTAGCCCATGTAGAGGATGTTAGCATCACTCATTATACAGATTCTGCCAGGTCAGATGAACAAAGGAAGAGGAAATAACTGGCAAAGAGTGGAAGACTGGAAATCATTAGAAGCACTCAGTCTGCACACACACACACACACACACACCAAACCCTGAAGTTTATCACTATAGCCTTTATCCCTCAAACCTGGCTAGTTTGGTCAATGTTATGGTAGTGAAATGAAGATATGTCACTGTGGAATTCACATGAATCCACTTTTTTCAATCACTTAAAATCCAAACAAGTCTGTCCTAGAAGACTTGAGTTATCATAAAGTAATGGGCGCTGTGTTCAAGTGGTTTACTTTTAAAGTATGTTGGAAGTGATACGATGAGAATGCCACTGGCAAAAGATGGGGAGCTGTGACATTGCTTCACCTAACTTTAATTCAGGGACGTGCCTTTTGAAAATGTCCTCTCTACTCCATGCTTTGGAACTGTCAGTTAGACCTAGTCCTTTCTTTCTCTGACCAGGAAAATATAATCATGTTTGAGACCAGTTGCTTTGAAAAAAGGTCTTTTTATAAAGCCATCATAGGAAAATAACTAGTTCAAATTAATTTTTCTGGGTTGCTTGGCTATTGATTGAAAATATTTATGCTGAAACGGCCTCTTTTCTTTGGAAATTAACTTACGATCATTCCAACATCCCCACAGCACTAGTCAGATATATGTATGTCATCTTCCTGTGTGCTCATCACCTTGAATTTCTAAACCAAATGGTGGCAGGGAGCAGCTGCCAGATGAGGCACAGCTCACAGATTGTGTTTTTAATTTTCACTGTAATTTGACTTTGTTTTAGAAATGCTATCAGAAATTATTACATTAAGAGGTTCTGAAGAAAAGTTTTTAAGTGAATTATTTGTGTGCCAATGATATACACCTTTAAGGAATAAGGATTATTCTACAAAATTTACAAGGAGAAAATTCCTCTTTTGAAGTGATGAGATATGAGAAGACAATCTCAGGTTCTAGAAACATGTGCTGTAATGTAAGACATGCTGCAAAAGTGGGCAAATTAAAAGGAAAGGAAATGACATAGTGCAATTCACCAATCATTACGGCAGTCACATGTTGGGATTACAGCTATATTTGAATTCAAAAATATGCATTAAAGTATTTAAATTGATTGTAAAATGGTGCCTAGAGGGGCTGGCACTATGGCATAGCAGGTAAAGCTACCAATGCTGGCATCCCATATGGGTGACAGTTCCAGTCCTGGCTGCTTCACTTCTGATCCAGCTCTCTGCTATGGCCTGGGAAAGCAGTAGAAGATGGCCCAAGTCCTTGGGCTCCTATACCTGCATGAGAGACCTGGAAGAAGCACCAGGCTTCTTACTTCAGATCAGCCCAGCTTCAGTCATTGTGGGTCTGGGGCATGAACCAGTGGATGAAAGAAGACCTCTCTCTCTTTTTTTAAAAAAACGATTATAAATTAAAGAAAAATAATTTAACTGTCTAGCTTCCATGTTTTTTTTAAAAAAAGATTTATTTATCTCTCTGTGTATCAGATTTACACACAGAGAGAAGGAGAGGCAGAGAGAGAGAGAGAGAGAGGTCTTCCATCCACTGGCTCATTAAGATTCATTATTAAGATTCTTCATTAAGATTCATTTTTAATTATCTTTATATACGGAAGATCAACTCAACGTAAGTTTTTAAAATCAAATAGAGGGGCCGGCATTGTGGTGTAGCAGGTAAAGCTGCTGGCTGCAGTGCCAGCATCCTGTATGGGCACTGGTTCGAGTCCCAGATGCTCCACTTCCAATCCAGCTCTCTGCTATGGCCTGAGAAAGCAGTGGAGGATGGTCCAAGTCCTTGTTCCCTGCACCCACATGGAAGACCCAGAAGAGGCTCCTGGCTCCTGGCTTCGGATCGGCACAGCTCCGGCCATTGCGGCCAATTGGGGAGTGAATCAGCAGATCGAAGACCTCTCTCTCTCTTTCTCTCTCTCTCTGCCTCTGCATCTTCCTCTCTGTAACTCTGCCTTTCAAATAAATAAATAAATCTTTTTTTTTTTTAAAATGACCTGGTTGTAGTATCAAACCTACATAGTTATTCCAACAAGGGTTATTCCTTATCAGTAGCTGTGGAGTGAACAGAATACTTCTGTCTTCCAAAGTCCTATCTGTGGAAGACTTCAGTATGTTTAGATACTATTGACATGCCTACAGCAGGTGGTAGAACCTTGGGGGTTTGTGGTAGAAAGGATAGGGCACCTGAGGTGAGAGTGGTGCATGTGCATACAATCAACTCACCCCTCCTCTTTCTTTCTCTCAGCCTGGGATGATACATTCCTGTTTTCAGGTTCTCCCTCCTTTAGCAGCTCTCCTTCCACACCTCACTCCATCATGGAGGCTCTTTACTTTTTCGCTGATGTTTCCAAAAGGGTGGGGAAGCCATGAGGATCCTATTGCAGGTAAGACACCCATGTTTGTGGCATCTTGAGAGTTTATATGCCAGGTAGAAAGCATTTCTCTGATTCCAAGGAGTGTTTATAAGCTGATTCCTCTCTCATTACCAGCATTGTACTGTTCGAGGTATTCGTCTAAGCAGTAAATTCATTTCCTCAGGAGAGATGATGTGGCTAACACAGCCTCAGAGTTGTTCTTTCATTAATCTGTTTTCCTAAAAATAAGAAGAACTTTTGCTTTTATGGGGTGAAACTTTGTGCTGCACTGAAGGTAAAGTGACTCAGAGATCACACTGGATTACAAGATCCATATAATGTAGAGCTAGTGCCAACAAATGTAGAAAGAAAGAAGGATGCAAATAAAGTAGCTGGCATGCAGCAGGTTAAGTCACTCCTTGTGATGCTGGTATCCCATATGGTAGTGCTGGTTTGAGTTCTGTCTGTTCCACTTCAAATCCAGCTTCCTGGTAATGCATCCAGGGAGGCAGCAGAAGATGCCCCAAGTACTTGGGCAATTCCCACCCATGTGGGACACTTGGATGGAGTTTCAGGCTCTTGATTTTGACCTGGCATCTGGACCTGGCTGTTATGGCTATTTGGGGAGTGAACCAGAGACATAGATCTCTCTTTCCCTCTCTATCTGTCTGATACTCTGCTTTTTAATTAGCTAACTAAATAACCAAATAAATAAATAAGGCATTTAAAAATAACTTGTTATCTATTGAGACCCATCCAGTGTAGCCTACATGACATCATATGTATTTATTTTAAGATGTAATTTCATTCACTTCTTCTATAATATATATTTATGTATTTGAAAGATGAAGGGAGGGAGGAAGGGAGGGAGAGTTAGAGAGAGGGACAGACAACATTCCCATTCTCTGGTTAATTCCCCAAATACCTAGAATGGCTGGTCCTGGGCCAGGCCAAAGCCAGAAGCCAGCAACTCGGTCCACATATCCCACATGAGTGGCGGGGACCAGTTACTT